TATTTGATGTTTTTCACTGATTAGATTCAAATTTTTCATTTTTGTCAAGAATATTATGGAAGGGATTTCTCATCTGTGCATGGTATCAGAAGTTATAATATGTAATATCAACATGTCATTTATTTTTATTGTTTGTTTCAATGAATTTTAATTTTAGATGTATATTTGAAATCCATTCGTTCATTATTTTGTACACAGCCTTGTTTGGCAGAAACTTCCAATTTCGACATGTCATTTATGGTGATGATAAATGAATATGACTAATAAAAACTTTTTATGGGAAATCTTTATCAAAGTTAATCAAGGCAGTTTGATCACTCTTAATATGTGGTTATATGCAGAGTTTGTCAGGGATAGGCTATTCCTGTCTGCTATGGTTTGAATATTTGTTTCCTTCTGAAATTCATGTTGAGCCTTAAACTCTAAGGTGATGGTAATCGATGTAGTGCTCCCTGGGTAGTGAGTGAATCAGGAGGGCTCTGCCCCATGTGTGAGATTGATGCCCTCATGAACAAGGCTCAGAGCACTACCTGCTCCTTCCACCTCTTCTGCAACATGAGGACACAACGCTCACTTTGCCTCCTTTTTGCCCTCCCTCCTTCCAACGTGTGGGGGCACAGAAACAAAATTTCATCTTGAACTCACAGAGAGCCAAGTTTATTAGACACTACATCTGCTGGTGTCTTGATCTTGGACTCCAAGATCCAGAACTCAACACCTGTGAGAAATGTTTTATTGTTGATAAGTTTCCCAGTCTGGCATTTAGTTACAGCAGCACAAGTGAACAGAGACACTGTCTGACTCTGACCTTTTTCCCCCAATAGTTATCTCTACCTAAAACCTGTTGCCAAATAGAGAACATTGAAGAAGTAAATGAAGATCACAGAAGTGAATATGTCTATCATGACCATTTACCATTGGAATGTTGATATCCTGGAGATAGGAAAAGAGGGCTGGGAGTTATTAAGCATGGTCACGTCCACCATTACATAAGTGTTGTGTAATCAATTGTTTGCACAAATGAATAGCATTATCTGCCCCTGAGAATGATTCAGAAACAGAATGGAGATGTACAGAATTCACTGACTACTTCTGACTTGGGAGGTTCACATACTGTTGGTGCCATGCTGAGATCCACAAGTTGGGACATGGTTTCCTAGAATGAGAAATTCTGGTGCCACAGCTGAAGAATAGGTGACTACATTGACCTGGTATTTGTTTTTCAAAATATGATTTTCCAAGTTTTCCTTTAATGATTTGAGTAATCAATGGGATTGTGTGTTGATTGCTATGAAAGATAAAACATTAGGAGAGGGTAGCGGGTAGAGAGAGAAGGAATATCAGAGAATTCCCAGCCAGATATGACATGACTGGATACAGTTAGTCTGACTTGTGCTTTTGGAAAAAAATATGTACAAGAAAAATACTTGAAGGAGTCATAGGTATAAAAAAAAAAGCTAATCAGAGAAACTTGGAAAATCTTTCCTGAGAACCGATGGGGCACACATGTAACCAACGCCATTGTTTTCCACTGTCCTCTTACTCATTGACAGCCTGTGTCCACAGTTCCTGAAGATCTGGGAAGATATATCTGCTCAATCCTGTCTCTGGAGCCAGGAGGTGGCTGTATGAGCAAATGTAGGTGTGACTTACACGTCTATAAGTCCATGGCCAGTGTCCTGGGGAGGATGAGTGGGTGGTGACCTTTCTCCGACCTTCATGAGAACACCTTGATCCCTGTCCTGATGCCCTTTAATCACCAGACCACACCCCAGCCTCCTGGTCCTCACTTTATTTTTTGACTACACAGACCCTACCACTCACGTTTCTTTCTAACTTGTAATTTGTTTTAGATTCATTTCTCCAGATGTACGCTCTGCTCTGTAAACATAATGTGACAAAGAGAACTGTTTTTCAGCTAAATACACTAGGAGTTTCCATGGGTGTTACTTACTCTATGTCCACCGGCTCTGCTAGAAGAATGGGTTGCAGGAAGAGGTGTAAAATCATTGCTGGAAGAAAAGTTTGAGCTACGTAATGAAATGAAGAAGTGGTGATCATCATCATCATCATCATCATCATCATCATCATCATCATCATCATCAAGTCAGTATCAGTCTGCTGCCCTGGGCACTGTTATCAGCAACACACCAGACGCTTCTGGGGTCAGTGTTGTGCATGTGCCCCCTCTTGTGGTCAAGTGTGGGAAAATCCTCAGGGCTTTCCCTGTGACCTGACATTGCCATTTTGTGGGTGATGTGTAGGATCTTTCTGGCGTATTTTCATCCATTTTTTTCTTGTGATGCGTATTACAAATCATATTTTGTTGCTACGTACTATGCAAGTACTAATGTGTGCTCACATTAGACACTGACACATTTTTTTCAGTAGAAGTCAATGGTCTAGGAATTGGGATTTCCACACCATGTCTGGGATCCAATCGTTGTGGAGGCTACAGTATGTTTTGCTGCACAACACTCTACTTAGCAACGCAGTGACTGTGGAGTCCTCAGACTTTGCGTCCACAGTGACACAGTCAGTTTGGACTTATACCATGTGTTTGTTGTCCTCTCCCAGTCATAACCAGTGGGCAAGTTTCCTCCTGTCTGTCCCACTGTCCCCTCAACTCCCATGGGGGGTTCCTTGGAGAGCATGGCTGATGGCTGCACAGGGAAACTTGGTTTCAAGTCTTCCTTTATGGTTGGGCATAAACATCATTCCATTTAGTAATCTCACCACGGATGGGGGTGCCTGTAGTGTATTATGCAGGGGGCCCATCCATCCTTTTCTATTTTTTCTAAACCAAATACATACTGTAATTTTGTGTAGCTTTAAACTCATATATAGAAAGGTAAACATTTTTGCTTTAAATCTGTTTTGAGTACAAGTTATGAAGGATGAGAGCAGTGTCTTTGTTGGCTACTTTGCTTGCTGGTTCCATAAGAACCAGGCCATCATGCTGCATTATTTGGGCCTGGCAAGGGTCCCTCACATATGTCCATTTGTCACCACATAAACTCACAAAAATCATTGGAGAGACTAGCTCAGTGCTCACCTAGATTCTCTCTGATTCCAGTGTTTCTTTTGGAAAGATGAAACATTAATTCCTTTTTATCCATTTTTGCACAAATATGTATTGCACCCCACCTCTGACATAGACACTTTGCTATATGCTAAGTTTAAACATGATGAAAGAGAAGGAAGACAACCAAGAAAAAGAGAGAATTACTTTTTAAAATATTTTTTTATTTTTTATTTTCAGGTGGGGCAAAGGTGATATATGTAACCTAAACATCTGTACCCCAATAATATGCT